GGGGAGAAAAACGGAAATCTTGCAATACTCACATTAGGATAGCACTGATTGAAACATGACTCTAGGTTGCTCTTCAAGTTGACGTCCACACCTGTCAGAGGTTTTATCACTGATACTCCGGGTAATCCATCTGCTGGCACTGGTGGTTCTAGTTTCTTATGTAGGTGGCGAATCCTGCAGGGGAAGAAAACAGATAAGAAGATGTTATTATCTTTTTTTTTCTTTCCCTTTTGTTTAAGGTTAAGGTATTAATTTTATGAGGGATTCCTGCATGGGAAAAGTATAAGTTGGTTTGTTGGGATTTTTTTTCTTTTGTTTCTGGTTAAAGTAAAGATGAACGAGGGATTCTTTTTATTCTATATATCTTATTATCAGTGGCAAGTCTTACAGGGGAGGAATACACGAGACTCTAAGTGTTTCAATTCCTTATTTCTCCCACAAGCCGTCCCTGTGGGTTGTGGTTGGAACAGCTGTGCTGATCATACACACTGTCAGAAGCTTGGTCAAATTCCTTTACGATGACGACAATACATTAATTACCCACAATAGCCGAAAATAGGTCTGTCTAACCAGGGGTTCTTTCATTAAATGTAAAACTAACAAATACGTCAGTTCAATCTATTCTTACTGGCCAATTTAGTGGTGTGCGTGTCACTCGTAGGTTTTGTATCAAAAGAGGGCTCTGGCACAATGGGAACCCCCTTCGGAGATAAAGAGAGTTAAAAAAAGATGTATGAATGAAGGATTCATTTTATTTGTCAGGCCTTAACCTGGAAAAATATAAAAGAAGCAGAGGAGCACAGGCAAATCATAACAATTTATAATTTGATGAGCCTTGTTTTCTAGATGAGGAAAGAAGAGAAAGGATGCTCTCTCAGAAAATATTTTGTCGTGGTCTTTTACCACCATCCATCTGTCCAGCTCTATTTTTTCATGCCAAGATGCCAGATGCACTGTCCAATTTACTCTTGGTCCAGTTTTACAATGACAAACAGTGACCAAATCAGCCCACCTATTAAATCCTGTAACAATCTCTGTGTCGATGGGTGGGTGAAATGCCACAACAGCAGCTTACACAGTGTGATGATTCATGATATCATTATCTCACAGAGATACTTAAATATGACAGAGCTTCCTGATGACACTCTCACATCCCACACGACATAATCTGTTGGTACTGTGGACTACTTTTCTAACAAAATAGAACCGCTTCAGTTCAAAAATTCAAAATCTTCAAAGGGAATAGTCAATAGTGACAAAATTTTCACAAATACGAGTATTGGGGGGGAGGGAGGGGCGGTGAAGGAAGGACTGAGGGTTTCAAAGGGAACAGGGTGCTTAAAATTTATCATGTCAATCTATTTTTATTGAAAGGCCTAGAAACTGGAACTCAAAAAAGTTTTAAACCCATCGTCTTTTTACCACTGGAGACAGAATTCAGAACTAACTCAGTAAGAATCATTCAAGAAAGATAAATACACACATTAATGTTATCATGTGAAGCAAATTGACTATTCTGAAATTGTCGGTAAAAGTAACATTGTGGACTCCGCCCTCGACATTTTTTATGTTAAAAAGTGTGTCTTTCCTGCATTATAACTTGAATAATGTCACGATGACCCATTAAAGGAAGGAGCCCCCCCCCCCTCCCCTTCCCCATGTGTGTAGTAGGTCAAGTATGTTTCCAGACGGAGGGCACAAGTTGTTAGGTTTTATGAAACAATCTTTTGAACAAAAAAGGAAAATAATATCTTTAATGCCAACAACAAAAATCATCTTGTGTAGAATCATCTGAACCAACCAGCTTAAAAAATTACTTAAAAATACTACGGACTTTCAAAAACAGAATCCTCACTAAAGCAGTACCAAATCCATATTCAGTGGCAATGTTACCTGATACCTGTATCACCAAGTGTGCTATTGCAGCACGTCCACAAGCCTCATTTTCAGGCACTTTTGACTTGTTTGAGGTAATAAATGTTGCTTAAATCCCCCCCCCCCAAACATTTGTATACATCTCCGCAGATTGTTGAGTACTTCTGAATTCCCCTTTTTAAGAGTATCAGATCAATTTAATAGGCCTACACAATTATTTTTTAAATTGTAAACATGTTTTTTAAGTGTTGTTTATAAATATCAAGTGCAAACTTCATTGCGAAAACTCTGAAACATTTAACTCGATCACTTCTAAAGTTGAAAATTAAAAGTTTACACAGCAGGACATGAGATCAGAGGTCTGGTCTAACCCTGTAACCTAACACACATCATCTTTTGTTTGTTTATAATTGTCTGTGTAAAGAGGAGAAGCACACACATGAAAACAAATAACCTACTCAGTTGGTTATCTTTTTTGCCTCCACATGTCACTATGAGTCATTAGACGTATTGTGACATGTGGAGGCAAAAAGTTTACAAGGCAGACAGACACAGAGAATAGGGGAAAGAACAGTCGAAATAGAAGGAAGATCGACAGCCCAGATTCAGATTCATGAACTAGATTTAGATCTTCATTGAATTGGCACCTTCCCAACCATCTGTTCAATTTTTGAATATCTCCTTCATTCTCTTTGGTGACAATATTATGAGCAGTTATTATAGCATTGAAAATATATGATTGAAATGCCTTTTTTCATTTCCTTTTGTTTTACAGTTTTAGCGGAGGCCCATTGATTCAAACTAGATCTCGATCTCGATCGGGGTTCTGGGGCAAAATTGTAATGAATAGATCTACCGGTTCAAGATTCTCCATCGAGAGATATTAAAAACTGGGGAAAATCATGAATTCCTATGGTTGAGACAAAAGAGGCAAAGTTGGTCCGCTGGTCTGGTATTCGTCAACTTCAATTTTACCGCTAGACTTTCAAACAAGGCCCAAAGCAAAATTACTGTATCTAGACAAGCCTGGTTGTTCAAGACAAAATTTAGAGGTCGACTATAGGAGGCCGTAGGGTCATGCCATGGTGTACGATTCATGATTCAAATATCAGTCCCCGGGAAACGGCTGTTGGAAAAAAAAAGAAGAAAAATAAGCAAAACAAACCCCAACAAAAACAAACCCTACCAAACTACTAATAGGCCTTGAATAAAAGAAATTTTAAAGTGGGTAGGCCTAGATCTAGATCTAGATCTATGTCTTAATTCCCGCAAACCGACCAGCAAACCCGTTAAAAAAAAATTAATTAATCAGGTGCGCCATGCCATAAACGAAGGTGGGCGTTGGCGGCGTTTCTACCTGAAGCCTGCCGCAACACGAGAAGGGCAACACTCGAACAGGCACCCGGCGGCGGCCACAGGCAGCCAGGTAGTTACCAATTCCGACGTCAACATAGGGCAGAATTGCCCAAAACACGCCCTTTTCGTCAACGCATTTCGAAGAACAGAGATAAAAGAAAGCATCAACTCACCCATAGCAGAGAGAAATAATGTGAACCACCCAGGAAAAGCTCCATCCTACTATGATAATAATCGCTAAAATAGTAGCTCCAATGGCGGAGTAGTCCACCGTCATGACTTCATGATGTTATGGCAATAGAGGGACCTGTCGGGGAATTTCTACTGCAGGGGACAGGAAACTAGGACCCCGGAACACATCCGGATTTTTCGCAAACAGCCACTCTTCTCTGTCGCCGGGCGTTTTTTAAAACTAGAAACAAAACGTGTGCTGTGTTTTCAAATATGACCCCAAAAAATGATACAGTCCTTGTTAAAATGTACGACTTTCGGTCAGAAGAAAGTGGCAAAATACACACATGGGGATGACATAAAATATAAGATAAATGAAGAAAACTGTCTGAACTCTGCCAGCAGCCAATGTGGACAACTCTTTTCCCCTCGGTGACGTCACAGGCGTCGCCCCCTCGCTCCCGCCTCGATTGCTGGTCGCCCGTCGTGACGCATACACAGACAGCCCGCCAAACCTCTCTCTCTC